CCAGCGCACTCAGCCAGCAGTGCAAAGCTCTGATCAGAGACTGCTCTGATCCATTCTGAGCAGCGTGTACCCCAGAGGTACAGGCAGCACCCTTTAACAGGCCATCTCTCGTCGTCACTGGGCTCATCCTTTCCTAAAACTTCTATTCAGAAAGGACAGAAATCACTGCAACAAAACACCTCCTTGTATCTCTTTCGGGATGATATATTTATCACAATTTCTCTGAACTATTTGGTACTTTACCAAATCTAGCAATATTTTTAATGGACAATGTAACCAATTTTGTCTTAGGGAGTTTCTATCAGACACAGAGCTCCCACACTTGCCTTCAGCTACGTTGGAAATTCAATACCGGATTTCAATCCTGAACTGATCTGCACATGACTGTGGAAATGTGGGAAATTCAATCGGACCTCTGTGAGATGAAAGTCAATTTTACTCAGGACTGATGGCACTGCAAAGAGAGCCCGAACCCCAGGGGTACAGTTCGCCTGCTCATTGCTCATCACTGGCAAACATTATACTTGTTTATACAGTCCGGATTATTGTTGTCTACATAGCAATCAAAATGGACAGGACGTTTCCATTCACACCTCACTGCGATCTGTGTCGTGAGCTTTTCTGGCTCTGAGTACTGACCATTTTCTTGTTTCCTGAGGTTATAAATGTCAAATTTCTCCCTGCTCAGACAATGTTGTCTTCTTCTCCGACTTCCACATATCTTTTTCACTTCATCTTTTGTGGTGAGGATAAACGTATGAATGAACCTGTTATCAGCGGGGATCTCTCTCTTCTTAATGAGTTCATTCCAGTCAGATGGTACGCTCTCAATAACATGCCTTTTCAGAAACTTCTTATAACTTTGACTTACAAATTCACAAAAGCACTTGATCTCTCTAACCTTCGAGTTCACCTTGACATGTTGCTCAGAGCTACCGTACACTTCTCCCCCCACGAGCATCAGACAGTTTCCGTACACCATGATCTTCTTCAGCTCCACCGAGGAGCGGAAGGTCTTCACAGTCCAGTCTCCCCTCTTGGCTGTCATGTTCTGCTGACTGTTGCCTCCCAGGTAATAGGTTCCACACAGCTTATGCTGAGAGCTCACTGTGTGAGCCCCCAGCAGGAGCAGAACGAGAGCCATCTTCACCACCATCTTGTCCTGGCTGAAAAACACACATTTCAAAAGCATGAGCCCCCTGTAAGTGGAAGGACAGGCGAAGAGCTGAGCTCACTCTCTCCCTGCAATCTACAGCAGGGGCTCAGCTCGGTCCCCTCTCCCCTGTGATACTCAGGGTTTCTGACGCTTAGGAAAGTGTTTGTGCCACACAGAGCAACAATGAAACATCCTGTATCACCGAGAACAAATCTCAGAGCTCAGAAAGGCTCAAACAAAGAAATTTGAAGAAAAAGCTTGTATATCTATCAGACACACAGCTCCTGCACAGACACAGAGAGCACAGTGACAAGACACCTGTCTGTCAGACACACAGCTCCTGCACAGACACACAGAGCACAATGACAAGACACCTGTCTGTCAGACAAAGAGCTCCTGCAGACACACAGAGCACAGTGACAAGACACCTGTCTGTCAGACACACAGCTCCTGCACAGACACACAGAGCACAGTGACAAGACACCTGTCTATAAGAATGTAATCATTCTAGAAAAGATGAATCAGATGCTTTCTTGAAAGGAGGCACTTCTGTACACAAAGGGCAGTAGGAGTCTGGAACACGCCACATGGTCATGATATCCTGGATTCTTTCAGGACAGCTGGATATGATCCAGGATCAATTGGCTACTAGTGACCGAACCGGCCAGATGGGC